AGTCAAGGACAGAAAAAAGTGCACCCTGCTTTATAAAAAAAACTCACATACCAGATAATGGAGAGTCATGGTCATTATTTCTGTGTTTTATTATTTTTTTATTCTTTGTTATTTACTCTGCTGCTGAGTGGTTTTTAGAATTTTAGTCAACTACCATTCTAAATTATGAGGTCAACAATTTTTTTTTTTTTTACTTTTATTCAGCAAGGTTTCATTAAATTGATCAAAAGTGACAGCAAAGACTTTTACATTGTTACAAAATGTTTATTTCACATAAATGCTGCTCTTTTGAACTTTCTATTCATTAAAAATATTAACAGATGTACAGTGTTGGGTAATTTACTCTAAAAAAGTAATTAATTACTAGTTACTAATTACATCTTCAGCAGTGTAATTAGATTACTGTACAATTTACTCTCTCCAAAAAGTATTTAATTACTTATTACGAATTACTTTCTAAATCCTATATCAACCTCAACAAGTTGATACAAGGAAGGACATGAAATGGTTCTTTTAATTCTTTCAAGTAACTACATAAATTATTCTGGTCACATTTTAGATTAGGGTACAATTCTCACTATTAACTAATTATTAACTATGACTTTTGCCTCAATATACTCCTAATTACTGCTTATTAATACTTAGTAAAGTAGTTGTTAAGGTCAAGAATTGGGTAGGATTAAGGATTTAGAATAAGGTCTTGCAGAATAAGACATTAATATGTGCTTTTTAAGTAATAATAAACAGCCAATATCCCAGTAATATTCATGCTAATAACCAACAAGTTAATAGTGAGAATTGGACACTAAAGTGTTACCAGTATTCTTATGAACTCACCAAAGTATTTAAAGTGAGAAGGGTACATAAAAAGCATGCATTTTAAGGTTAGACTTTACATTTTGATGTTAAATCCACTATTATATTGTGTATAAATGTTCTACAGTCTATACACAGTATTAAGTTCAATTACATAAGAAGTAACTGTAATTAAATTACAGAAAAAATAAGAGTAATCCCTTACTTTACTTTTTCAAGGGAAAAGTAATTAAATTACAGTAACTAATTATTTAGTAATTAGTTACACCCAACACTGCAGATGTATCACGGTTTCCATTAAAATACTAAAAAGAAATGTTTCTTGAGCACCAAATCACATCATATTAGAATGTTTTTCAAAGGATCATGTGACACTGAGGACACTGCATTCCTTCACTAACACACTTAATTGGGGTGAGGACCTAAACATGATTTTCAGTGAACTTTTTCTTTAATATCTGTTAGTGACATTTCACAGCTCCATCTTGGCAAATTGAGGCCAGTAGTATTAAGCAATGTAATTTTAAAATCACAACCAAAAATTACAATGGGATTAATACAAGAGGAAAGAATCCTCAAGGAAACCCCACAATTCATATATGATTTGTTTTCATTTCCAATAAACCAGTCTTCAAAAGAATTCCTCAACCACATCAAATTCACAGTACACACACTCAAGATTTCCAGTATTGCGTTCTCTCAATATTTACTGAATCCCGCTGCTTCTTTCCACTAGCCAAGATCCGCAGAGCCTGTAGTTTCATTTGCTGAACCGACATTTCCAGTCACACTCCAGTGGTTTTGTAATCTGAGCCTGTACGGATAAGTAATGGCTAAGACTGTACGAAATAAAAGTAAATGGAAAAAACGCAGCCAAAAGCTTCCAGCAAATGTACACGCCCCCAGACAACACGCTGCTCATGTCTGTGGACATGAGCTCAAGTGGGCCAGTCTGATGATTGAAGGCGATCACTTCTGACAGTGTAGCGTTTTATCTGGACAGAATATACAGTATGTTTCATGTTCTGCTTCAGATGCTTTCTCCTTGTGCTGCTCAAATTTCTCAGGGGGAGGCAATGCAGAAATAAGTTTGTGACCTTAAAAAGTTCATCTAATATCCTGAGCGTTAACTGCACTGGAGCTTGAAATTAATGTTGGATTTTCATTTCAAGAGCATCAGCAAAGTTACGTGTCTTGGGGAAAAGGCAAGTCCGTCTGAAATAGTTGGCAATACCTAACATGCGTGTCGTAATGTGGTAAAGAACCTCAGACACCGAAGGCAACTGCTAGGTAGCGCTTGTGAAAGACGACAGGCTTTGTAGAAATCATAATGTCATGTCTAGAACAAATTCAAGTGAGCTTTAGAAACAACCAAGCAAATATTTCATCACTATGATGCCTATTTCTTGGTAAAAATTGAGGGGGAAATCATTATAAATGATTAAAAACCACTCCTTCAGATGGCAGCATTTTTATTCATTCCACTAACAGGATGTTACGTAAACACCGAATTCAGATGTGCCTTGTTACCTTTCTAGCTCCGTATACACTCTTGAAGGCAGCATTTTTCAGTAATAGTTTCATCATGCACTGATTCACCGGGAGCGTGATGACTTGACCCTGTAAAACGCTGAAACCTTACATTTATGTGGTTACTCATATCAGATGCATCTAAACAGCATCTGATCCCTGCAGCTGTGTTCACCAGCTAAACTTTTGATTGTTATCTAGAGTTCAACATTGCATTTGGCCTCGTGACTCATTTGTGGAAATTGCACTGGAAATGTTTTTTTTTTTTCTTTATGCTCTTGGTCTCAATGCACTTTATGGAGAACAAATTGGCCATCATAAAACATTCCTTGAGAGAGAGTCTGCATACAGAATAGAGCCACAAGGCAATTAGGTTTTATGGTGTTTAGTTCAAACCCACGTAGTACGTGCCTTACAGATGCTTAGGTTAAAATTGGAACTGTTTGATTTGTGGATTTTAGTTGTAGGTCTTTCTGGAGGTCTGATCCCTCGTTTGTTCTGTTGTGACGTAATTGCTTAATGCATAGAAGCCATTTAAAAGTGCTTTTTATTTTAATTACAGAATTTTTATTACAGAAAGATTTTTATATTTTTAAAAGTTTCTTACGCTCACCAAGGCTGCAAATAAATGCAATTTGTGCATAAATGCAATATGCACAATAAACGCAAACTTTTGAAAGATAGTGTGTATATATACAAGATAAAAATCTTTCACAATTTCATCCGTGTTGTCTAATGTCTCTTTCATTACTCTCTCTTTTCTTACTGTCCTCACTCACACACACTTAGCCAGGGCAGTTTGTTGATGAGCACAGCAGATGTTGCAGTCAGGGTCCAGGGAGAATCAGTGGCAGCAGAAATGGTGGGCACTATTAAACTATTAGATATAGAGAAGGTTTGACTCTCTCCCCTACTCCATTCCCTTGATAAACCCCTGAGACAAGATAGATAGAGGGAGAAAGCCTTCTGACTCATGCATTTGGCTTAGAGATGGAACAAAGTAAAGATCTTCCTCTTTTTATGTATACATAAGTACCCACAGTCACAATCACATGCCTGCGTTTAACTAAATAAACCTCTCAACCACTGAAAACCTATCTGCTGGTTTTCTCTCAAGATGAGGCAGTGGAGAATCTGAAGAAAAACTGAATCTGGCTGCCACGTGTGCATTCATATTAGAACAGCTCGCAATCTGTCGCCAAATGAAACTGGCATGGATGACACAAAGTGAGGGAACGTGGGATGAAGAGATAGCGTGTAGGAAGCAGAGAGAGAGGAGCTTGGACTGATTGCCATTGGAATTCCCAGAGTAACTTTATTGAGTCCAATTTGATTTACACCAGCAAAGTCTGGCATCCAGAATGCCAGCCTTGTGTAAATGCCAATCAAGACTCATTCAGAATGATGAGGCCTGATTTCCAGTCCAGGACAGAGCCAGAGAGTGTGGATTTTACTCAAGATGGGCAGTGTATTTATGGGAATGGAAATGAGGCGGTGAGGGATGAATGTGCAGCCAGTTCAGTGGGTCTTGGGTTACATCTAATTTTTTGCATCCTTATTTTATTATTATTTTATTCAAAGTGAAGTCATAGATGAGATCCATCCTTGGTGACGGTGCCATAGTCAAATAGGAAGGGGCTCACTTTACTGATATAGAAAAAAACACAGAAAAGGAAATGGAAGGGGTGATAAAGTGGAAGGCAGTAAAGATATTATAGTCTTAAATGACGTAAGGGGAAGGGGATTCAAGTCTTATAAAAAGAGGGATGAAAAGCAAAAGTGTTTATGTGGTTTGTGAAGGGCTTGGGCCATTTGGGGTGCCTCTGGACAAACTGAAGCAGCAGTCTGGACAGATTAGAAGAGCTAAGAGGCTGAGGGCTGATGGGTATTTGTGATTTAGAGTTCCTGACAATAATGATGATGATAACACTGCCGTTATACAGATTGAGAGAGAGAGAGAGAGAGAGAGAAATGCCACACAGCATCTCTCAACAGTTTTCCACTCTTGAGGATTCTTGAAATATGATCTTGAACTTTAAAAAGGGTTGTTTAACAGGGGTTTGTGATAGCTTTGCAGGGGCTCCCCAAGTTGTTTGGTCTCAAACTAATTTTTGGGAAAAATTTTAAATGTTGATCAGAAATGCAAAATGAATTTAAGATAAATATAAAGTTTTCAGCAGTGATGTCTGAATTGTTAATTTGAATCAAATCTTTTCAAATTAATCAGTTGGTCCAGTTCACAAATGATTCATTTCTTGAATTCAGCTCACTGACTTCCATTCATTGAGATTATCACCAGTAGCTTAAATATCAGTCTTTTACCTCCTTTTACCTCATACTCGTTTTACTTAGCATTATAATTATTCCTTCAATGACCTCTGGAAATATAAACAGTTCACTACCATGTCTCTAAGATGTTTTTTTAAGTCTCTTCTGCTCACCAAGGCTGCATGTATTTGTTCATAAATGCAGTAAAAATAGTAATACTGTGAAATACTATCAGAATTGAAAATATATAAGAAGCTTTACACTAATGCAGATTTATATTGCTTGCACCAGACTGGCCTGATTATGTAACTTTACATTTGTTTTCTTTTTAATTACTGTAGTGCATATGTATTCAGTAAATATTCATATTCACATCCTCTCCACAGGTAATTCCCAGATGGGGGCCACTATAGTAGATGCCCTGGATACCCTTTACATAATGGGACTCCACGATGAGTTTAAGGATGGCCAGGAATGGATCGAGCAAAACTTGGATTTCAGTGTGGTAAGTAGCCATGACTTGGACATGAACACACACACACAAGCTTACCAGCAACACTTGTCTTTGTAGGTTTAGAGGCAAAGTGTTCCTGTTTTTGTTTATAGACACAGATACATCTCAGGGCGCTGTTATTTCACAGTGGTAAGCCTTATACTTGGCAGCTGGCTGACACAACTGTATTAACAGTCGTTCGACACCCCATAATTCCTCAAAGACTTCAGTCCTCAGTGTGTGTGAATCTTTCAGGTTTTGATCAGATTGTGGTGGCACTCTGTGTAAAACGTGTTGCGACAAAGGAGTTGATGTGACACATCATCGTATCCAGGAGACAAGACTGGCGCCATGGAAACAATGTGAACCGCCGGAGCTCTGCCTCCAGAATTAGCCAATGATGTTGAGGAAAAAATGGCAGACAAAAGAGACGTCAGAGAATGAAGCGGGGGCCGGCGAGTGGCCCCAGGGGCCCCGTGTCTCCTGCTCTCCTTCTCTGTCTGCATTCACGTCCTGACCCATTAATGGGATTTCTCCAGTTTCTCTCCCTATCAGTTGTTTTTCCGGCCTCTCCTCCATCAGATATGGAGAACCTGTATGGTCGTCTTGGCTTTGGCTTCTCTCTGGTATCTGTGTGTTGCGTGGTTTTTCTCCCGTCTCCCTTCTGCCACCTTTCTTTGAGAAGATCTGGTGGACTCTCAGCGCCTGAAATCTCCTCTGTGTGTTTAGTTCATCTTTTTGGCTTTTCGAGCAGTGACCTAATTTCTTCTCTCTCCCCCTCCTCACTGTTACTTTTGGACAAATATATCTTACAAAGCATGTGCACTCTGAAGGATGACTCACGCTTGGACCGTTGAGTCTGGCCGTAGAGGGCTCAGCATGTCTCAGTGGGATGGATGTGTTGGAAGGATTTTTGGCGGAGGGCAATAAACCGCAAAGCATAAGCGAGGAAGGGAAGCGTGTGCAAAACGCTGTGTTTCCACGAAAATATATGAAGTAGCACAACTGTTTTTAACAGTTAATAGTAAAAAATGTTTCTTTAACTGCAAATTAGCATATTAGAATGATTTCTGTAGGATCATGTAACACTGAAGACTGGAGTAATGATGCTGAGAATTCAGCTTTGCATCACAGAAATAGATTATATTTTAACATATATTCACATATAAATGTTATTTAAAATTGTAATAATATTATATATATAGAAAACCACCATTTTAAATTATATTTTTTCACATTACTGTTTTTACTGCATTTATGATTAAATAAATACAGCCTTGGTGAGACGTCTTTCAAAAACATTTAAAAAAAATCTTGACCCACTTTTTAATTGTACTGAATGCAGAAATTCATGGTAACCAAGATTAATAAATACTATAAAAGTTAATTATTATTTCGTGCTGCGTAATGTATTATTTGTGAATTTATTAAATGTTTAAATGAATTCTATTATAGTGCTGCCCATCATTTTATAATTGAATAAATAGTTCAGCCAAAAAAGTAGGGGAAAAAATAACTCACAAACATGACTTTTTCATCTGTTTTTGTCTATACAATGAAAATTAGTGGGGTCCAAACCATCTGATTGGACCCCTGATGACTTTCAAAAAAAAAAAATTGCTTAGACATTTTAAAAATATTATCTTTTGTGTTCCACAGAAGTAAGAAATGCACTCCCTCAATCTCTCTCTCTCTCTCTCTCTCTCTCTCTCTCTCTCTCTCTCTCT